CTGGGAGACTGGGAGTTCTAGTCCCGCCTTAGGTATCAAAGCCAGCCAGATGATTTTGAACCAATCAACTGGGAGACTGGGAGTTCTAGTCCCACCTTAGGTATCAAAGCCAGCCAGATGATTTTGAACCAATCAACTGGGAGACTGGGAGTTCTAGTCCCGCCTTAGGTATCAAAGCCAGCTGGATGATTTTGAACCAATCAACTGGGAGACTGGGAGTTCTAGTCCCGCCTTAGGTATCAAAGCCAGCTGTGTGACTTTGAGCCAATCAGCAGAAGACTGTGAGTTCTAGGCATGGATATATTTACCACCTTGAGTTTTTTGCCCCCCCAAAAAGACAGAATACAAATAAATAAGAAATAAAAAATTTATAAATAAATAAATGTTAGTCAGTCAATCAATCAATCATCTTGCTTGTGTCTAATCACAATTTTTCATGCCAACCCCAACACGACAGGATCTCATCGCGTGTCACAACCGCGTCATATTTCGCTTGGGAGTCTCACCTTCTTTTCAAGTTCAATACTTGATCCTCCAGTTACGACCGTTCATTCGTTGAGTGACTGTTTCAATGCGACCACAGCCCTGAAAAAAAGGGACGGCTGTTGCAGTTTCCCTGATCTGCGATGGCGGCTGGGTCCTAAGGTCCTCGACATATGACTGTTCACTGAGTGATGGCCGCCTTGGTCCCGTGGGTCCTCATTTTACAATGTCTTACCCACCAAGCCCAGTGGGATGCCAGATCCACTTCCCGAGCGGGTGACTCGCTGAACAACTGCAGGGATTCACTTAACAACGGAGGCAAGAAAGCACGGGGCCAAACTCACTAACCATTGTCTCACTTAATGACAGGCATTTTGGGCCCAATTGTCTTGCAGGCCTGCTGCCAGCCCTTCCATCGGGCAGTCCCAGCAGCCATCTCATTTGCTCCCCTTGCGTGGACAGCCCCAATTGTCAGTCCTCAACTTACGACGGCTTCTACGACCACCCCAAACAGACCCATATCCACTTTTTTCAGAGAGCGGCACCTGATTTCATCACCTGTTTTGCCTCCCGTCACTCCACACATCCGTGTGGTCATTCAGTGAATCCTCATGGTCATTAAATGAATCAGGTTATCATTAAGTGAATCCATTTACTTTCCTTTTGGCACAAATGTCAATCCTGTAACCCCCGGGATGCTCCAAGTGTCCTCTATATACACGCCCACCGAATTTTAATCTCATCACTGTGTCAGTCGTAAAGGCGAGGACGTTAAATATATTGCAAACTAGCTCGATCCCTGTACTTCGCTACTAAACTATGTGGTAGGGCTTAGTTTTGGGGGAGGAAAATAAGGAGGGAAAATTCTGCTTCTGCCTACCAGCATCCATCGGTATTCATCTAGCTAGCGTCCTGTCAGTGTGTGAGAGAGTGGAGGGCTGTTTGGAAACTGAAACCGTATCTGCTGGGTGAGCAAGGAGACAGCAAGGAGCCTGGGTGTGGCTTAGCTCAACTGCTCTGTACTAAAGCTGCTTGGTGCTGTGAAACTAAAACTGAAACTGAAATTCCTCTGCTTGTGTTTTGCATTTGGAGCAGATTTCTTTTCAGGTGGGGAGGGGGAGTAGAACTCCTTAGCATCAGAGCGTGTTAATTGCTGTAGAAGAAATACTAAGGAAATACTAATGGTCCCAGGGTCCTTTCGAAAAATCCTTTCTTCGTGAGCCCCTAGAAGCCAAGAGGAACATCTGGGCCAAATGTTAAGTTTGTAGGCTTTACGGTTCGGGGGATTTTGTGATGATGGGGGGGGGGGTGTTCTTTCGCTTTTATATAGATAGATAGAAAGATAAGATATTTAATTTAATGCTATGTGATCTTATCCTGGTGCAGCTCATGGCCACAAGATTTGGAGGGTATTTTTTTTCCCCACGCCCGGCTTTCAAAGCAGAGGGGAAATGTTCTTTTCAGTTTTGGATGAGAGGGAGCCCCCCCCCCCCCAAATCCTCTCGCAGGGTAGCCAGGGGATAGACTCCCCTCTTCTTCCCCCCACTTAGGACCCCCCCCAACCAAGGGGAGGGGAGGGAGGGAGGGAACAGTGAAACCCCTTACTTGCCACACAGACCCCCCAAACACTCAGAATCCACCGAGGATTCTCCCCTCCCTCCCCTCTTTCAATCCACGTGGGGAGGGGGCGAGACAAGGGGGGGATCCGTCCCCCCACGCAGATCCCACGCTGAGCATCCCTCCCCATCCTCTTCCCAACTGCAGACCCTTAAACCCTCTGTCGCTGAAGCCAGGGAGAGGGGGAGGGTCTCCGCTGTAGCCCCCCCCCCGCCGCCGCCGCCGCCACCCTTCCCCATTTGCAATTCCACGCGCGTCCCGCGCCCACCCGCGCCCATCCTTCCTTTCTTTCCCTCCCCCTCCCTTCCGACGCCTCGCCCTCCGTGCGGCTGCGGTTCCTTTTGCGCATCTGCACCCGGAGCTGAGGAAAAAAAAGGAGGGTTGCCGATCGCCAGCCAGGTTTATTTTATTTTATTTTATTTTATTTTCTCACGGGCGGCGTCTGGAGCCGAGGGGACGAAACGGGCGGAGGAGATTCTGCGGCAACCCGGGGACCGGAGCGCAACGGCACGCGCGGGGGAGCCGAAAAAGAAGAGAGAGAGAGAGAGAGACGGGATGCCCGGGGAAGAAAATGCACCGGGGGCAGCGGACAGAGGGGAGATGCTACCTAGCGTAGAGGAGAGCAGTGGCGGAGCAGGTCGGGCGTAGCTGCGGAGAAGCGCTTCGGCTCTGGACCTTAATAGGCATCCGGAGTTGTCCGGCTGGCTGAGCTCCCTTTCCACGTTTCCCCGCACCGGGATTAGATCCCCTTGTCATGCCGCCCCTCCGCCTTCGGGGGGCGGCCGGGGACCCCTGATTTGGGGGCCGCGAGGCTGAGCCGGGCACTCCACTCTTTTGACCATGTGGGGCCCGGCAGACAGAGCTTAGCAGAGCCTTTGCGACTCCCCGCCACCCCACGTTTCCGCCTCTGCTGCCCCGGTCCGTGCCTCTGCCATGGGCACCGTGCTATCCCTCTCGCCTAGCGGTGGCGGCAAAGCCAGCCTTCCCGAGGAGGGCTCCACTAGCTCGCTGGCCCACTCCCCCGGCGGCAAGGGAAGCGTGCAGAAGGCGGACAAAACCCTCAAGAGACCCTCCATGTTCATCCCGGCCCTGACATGGAAGAGGTTGGTGGCCTCCACTAAAAAGCGGGGCTCCCGAGGCAAAGCTGGCGGCGCCCTCCCGGGCAAGAACGTCCCACCAGGCAAGGAGGTGGCCCACCTCAACCACGAGAACCTCCAGAAGTCGCTCTCTTGCGCCAATCTTGCCGGCTATGAGGGGGGCGGGCCGCCCTTCAACACCAAGGGCCTCCCTGCCACCACCGGCTCTTTGCTGAAGCCCGGTGGGTCCTCGTCCCCCCGGCGGGTCATCGTCCAGGCGTCGACCAGTGAGCTGCTGAAATGCCTGGGTGAGTTTCTCTGCCGGCGGTGTTACCGCCTGAAGCACCTGTCCCCGACAGAGCCCATCCTGTGGCTCCGGAGCGTGGACCGCTCCCTGCTGCTCCAAGGTTGGCAGGACCAGGCCTTTGTCACGCCGGCCAACGTGGTCTTTGTCTACCTGCTGTGCCGGGAGATGATCGACGGAGACCTGGTGGGCAACGAGCACGACCTCCAGGCGGCCTTGCTCACCTGCCTCTACTTGTCCTACTCGTACATGGGCAACGAGATCTCCTACCCTCTCAAGCCCTTCTTGGTGGAAGCCTCCAAGGATGTCTTTTGGAACCGCTGCCTCCACATCATCCACGCCATGAGTGCCCAAATGTTGAGGATCAACGCCGACCCACACTACTTCACGCAGGTCTTCGCCGACCTCAAGAACGAAGGCAACGTGGCGGCTGAGGACTTTGCCCGCGTCTTGGACCGGTGACTTTGTGGACTCTTTACTTCTTCAGATTTTTTGGGGGGTGGGTAGGTGGGTGGGTGGGTCCTGGGGAACTGGTTTCAAATCCCGAGCCAGAAGGACCGGCCTGTTCCTGCCTCCCGAGACGCTGTGCAGGACGACAAGAGCTGATACGGCGCTCTGTGGCGGACGAGGAATAAACGATACAACGAATGTCGTGTTCACCACCCCTCCAACCTTTAGCTAATGGAGAAGACACCCCCCCCATGGAAGGGTGGGGTGGAGGGGTGTCATCTTTGACTTATGACCGCAACAGAGCCCACATTGCAAAGTGAGCCATTTGTTCCACCCAATTGGCACCCTTTTTCATGTCGTTTCTTCTCACGGCAGTTTAAGCCGATCGTTGTCCTGTCGATGACACGGGCGTTAAGTGAATCGGACTTGCTGGTCAGGAGGTCTCCAAAAAAGGGGAATGGGGAGATGCCGGGAGGCCGCCACTATCGTAAGGATGAAATACCATCCTAAGTCCCTTTTTTTCCAGCGCTGTTGGAAATTCGGTCACTAAAGGAACTGTTGTAAGTCGAGGACTGTGTACTTCTTAAATAGCCATTCCCCACCCCCACCTTCATTCTGCCAAAAGCAAGCAAGCAAACCAAGAAACGATATTGGGAAGAAAAATATATATATTAATGTAGCCCTTTGAATCCAGCACCAAGGCCATCAAATTCCTTTGAATTCTGCTTCATAACGGAGAAGATCCATTTTCAAAATCTCTTGTTCTCTCTCTCGGTCTCTATCCAAATCGCAATGTGTGTGTGTGTGTGTATATACATACATATATACATATGTATTCTATCTCTTATCCATTATCTATCTATCTGTCTGTCTATCTATCTATCTATCTATCTATCTATCTATCTATCTATCTATCTAATCTATATCCATCCATCTCTAATGTATCTATCTAGCTCTAACCTATTTATCCATATCTCTCCATCTCTTTATCTATCTATATTTCTAATCTATATCTCTCCATCTCTATCTGTCTATCAATCCATCTCTCCCTCTTATCTACTGCTAATCTATATCTATCCCTCTATATATGTCTAGCTCTAATCTATATCTGTCTGTCTGTTTTATCCATCTCTATTTAATCTATCTATCCCTCTCTATATATCTAGCTCTAATCTATGTCTATTTATGTTTCTTTCTATCTACTATTCATCTCTATCTGTCTATCCTCTCTCATCTATATCTAATGTATCTATGCATATCTATCTATCTCATCTATCTACCATATATGTATGTCTCTATCATACATCTATATCTCTATCTAATCTATCTATCTATCTATCTATCTATCTATCTATCTATCTATCTATCTATCGTCTATCTATCTATCTATCTATCTATCTATCTATCTATCTATCTATCTACCATCTATCTATGTATGTCTCTATCTATCTATCTATCTATCTATCTATCTATCTATCTATCTCTAAAGGGTCTTCTAACTGGCAAGTTTAAGATTTGTGGACTTCAACTCCCAGAGTTCCTGAGCTAACGTGACTGGAGGAGGAATTCTGGGAGTTGAAGTCCACAAGTCTTAAACTTGCCAAGTTTGAAGACCCCTGACTCATCTATATCTTCTATATCTATCTATCTATCTATCTATCTATCTATCTATCTATCTATCTAT